CCCGAAAAGAGTATGAAAAAAAGTTACGATGGATTCAGAACTATATTTGCGTATAATTGAAAAAGTACACAATTTTTGGTTGATTATACCCATCATTATTTAAAAACTTTTCCTTTATTCTCTGCAAAATGAAAAAAAAAAACAAAAAACGACAACATGAAAATCAAAAAGAGTTTTCTCCGAAATGATACAATTTGTACTACCAGCCAAAGCAGAAAAATGGATTAAAATATTTTTTTCAAGGAGGAAAAAGTATTGAGATTCTTATTTCGCATCCCTCCAAATCTTTAAATACGAATTTTTATTGCAATCGAAAAATAAAAATAAAATTACCTCAAATTATCGTCAAGCCTCCTGCCTCCAACTTTTGGTTTATTATTTCTAAATTTCTAAAACTATTTCTAAAAATTCTAAAACTTAACCCCCTCTCCAAATTTGAGGTTTCACGTTTCAGGATGCGTACAATTCGAAAAACGAATAAAATTTTTTTGTCCGTCCGCCTTCCGCGCATTTTCTCCGAAACTACTGGACCGATTTTTTTTCAAATTTGGATATAAAATCAGAGGTCACCCGAGGATGATCCTCCTTCATCGACATTACCATCCGCCTTTTACTTTCAAAATGGCGGCCGAAAAACCTGCGTTGCTATAGACTGTAGCTCCTAAACGAATGTACCGATTTCAATGAAACTTCGCTAAAGTCATTTTCTTGACGCCCTTTAAATTTATCTATATAACATACTTCAACGAAAAGAAGCTGGAAAAAAAGTTACGAGGGATGGTAAAATTAAATTCCGAATAACTCAAAAAGTTTACACTTTTTTGTAGATAATGTATGGGTTTTTTTAAAGAGTTTACGAAATTTCCTAAAAACCAAAAGAAAAATCGTTCAAATCGGACAATTAGGAGCAAAGATATGGTCTCCGTTTTTTTTTTTAATATGTTCTACTCCAAATGTTATATCTTTTGTTTGGTTTTTAAATTTTAATATTAATATGTTACTGATGTAATTCTATTTTTTTTAGCATATTAGCAATGATTAAAAAAAAAGTTTAGTCCAATAATTGGATAACCTTTTATTTATTTATTTTACTTTGTAACTATGAAGGTAATGTTAGTTTAGACGTATAATTGTCTGGAAATAATCAACAATTGTGGAATAATTTTTTTTTTTAAATCACAAAAGTTGTCATAACTTCGGTATGGCCATACGAAAATTGGCAGGCATTTAGGGCCCTATAATATACACGAAATGACACAAACCAGAGTTCCGTAAATAAATTAGGCTATTAGATAAAAAATGAAAACCTGTTATATAGGCTAAAGAGTAACAATTAGTGTTGCCCAAATGCGAGACCGAGAGGAGTCTTGGTCTTGCAAACTCAGTCTTGGTCTAGGTCTTGGTCTAGAATTTCTTTTCTATTAGCTTATTAATAGAGAGATATTACTGTGATTTTTTAGACAGAAGAAACCAAACTAAGCCTGAATGAAAAATTAGAAGAGTTAAATGCAAAAGTATATTAGTTACACCAATTCTTTACATATAGTAACTAAAATTGTCAGGTATTAGTAACTATTTTCTCTCAATTTTTATTTTAAAAATCGATTTTTTTTACTATTGTTAGTAAAAAAAATCGATTTTGCAGCAGATAGGTGGTGTTCGACTTGATCTTGCAAATTGCAAGACCAAGACCTATATTGGGCAACACTAGTAACAATTCAGCTTTATAACGGTCATAGAAACATTGAATTAGGAGAAAATCACGAAGAGTTATGAGTATTTAGTGAAAACAGGTAAAAAGATTATAATACAGAGTCAATCGGTTTCCAAGGCGACTCATCACTTATCTATGTCTTCATCGAAATAAATAAAAAATTACTAAAATCAGATCATTTGGTGCATAGATATAATGCTTTAAACATTGAATAATTTTTCGTTTGCGATTTAGAGATCGACTGTTTCTTATATAGACAATTATATGTTACAAAACCAGACAATCCCTATATCTATACAAATAATGGAACGACAAAGAATATCGCATATTCACCAATAGCTAATAGCTGTTATATAAAATATATTAGAAACATCTAATTTCTTTTCTAATTCTTTTTTTTATTTAACGAGATAATGAGCCACAGCAACGCGTGGTCGGGTACAGCTGGTAGATATATAAATGATTACTAACGGTAGCCAAGGTACATAACAGAAATCCAGGAAAAATAAAATTTAGTTAGTTCGTTAAGAGTGGTTTTTCACCTTCGTGTTTAGTATTGTGTGATGAATGTGTGGTCAGCAATATGTTTCAACCTCATAGTTTAAGGCTACTTAATTATGACGCGCTCAATGACTGCGAATGTGTTAATTATATCAGTATCTCGGAGGTAAAGGAGATCGTATCCATTTTTTTATTAAATAAATTTAGTAATTAAGAAAAAATAATTAAGAGCTGAAAGTTGTAGAAAATTGGCTCTCTGAACAAATACAAAAATGTAACATGATGTCCTTAACCTACGGAATACATATTTAGTAAATAGGAAACAAATTGTAATAGCTCAAAGTTAAGGAACATTATCTCCCATGAACAAATACAAAAATATACATGATGTTCTTTACCTCCTGAGTACAGATATCTTGTCGACCATACGCAGAGTTCATTGCTTATTAAATAAATATAAACATTTTTATGAAAAGTTTAAGTAACAATTAATTTTATTTTTATATCAAAGATTATGAGACTATATTTGTTGTGTAATGTAATCACTATAAATGTAATATTGCATCCTTAAATTTTCGTAAATTTAACAAAACAAAAAACGTATAATGAAACAAACAGGCCATAAATATAAATTAATTAATTTAATTTTTTTATTTGTCGGCCCAAGGCTTCAAAACTGAAATCCTATACATTCCCAAACATTTATCTTCAAATAAAGTCATTTCAAAAAATTTCAATACGATTTGTCAAAATACTAGGAGAAGAGGTTTTAATTTATTTTTCAGCACTGACGAAAATCGTCTTATCTTACTGTACTTTGAACTGCCAGGAACTTTTTATAAAGTTTATAAGCCTAGGGTCTCACATCAGTTATTCTGGCTTTTCTTTCTTCTGGGGTTGGTATATTTATTTTCTTTCCTTAATTCTTTCTCATATTTCAATTCTTCAAACATTTTCAAGTCTCTGAATATTTCAATCTTGTAAATCGTTAGTAACAGCTGAAAAAAAAAAAAAATGACTCGCTCTATTTTTATTTCTAGATTTTCTATGTTAGCATTCAAAGCTACTGACTAAAATGAACATAATTAGACCAATAGTAGATGGTTATCCAGTCAGATAATCTGCTTGTTAATCTATCGTTTAATGATTTATCTTTTACCATTTTTTTAAACAAATTAACTCTCGAAAATCGTTAAAAGAAAATAGGAATGGAAAAAACAACAATTTATAATATTTTAAGTGCAATAATAATACTTGTAGTTGTATAATAAACTAATTCCACGACTGGTTTAAACTCTGGAAAACTTCGACTCAACCAGGACATATCACTTTTACCCTTCGGAATGAAACTTGCCTAGCTATTAACTTCGACAATGTCGAAATTCCTCAGCTAGTGAAATTTTAATATCCGGTACTGACATTTCACAGAAGAATGACATGTGGCCCACATATCAAGAACAATAAAAAAACCTCTAAACCTAAGACAACGACTATCATACTCACTCATTTCAAGACATTCGAAATTATAAAACTCAGACGAAAGTTGAACACATATACTTACTTAAATAAGTCCATTTGTACCTACGCTTCACAGATATACGGGACAGCCGAAAATACATACGTAAACTACAGACTTTTTGTTTTTTTCGGATGTGGCTCCGAAACTATGCATTTTATCGAAATTATTATCATATATAAAGTTAAAGTCGATACAATTTACGATCAATTTTATGCGTAGTTATTTTTTACGTAAGCCCAATTCGTGAGGAGTTAGAGAATGTTGACAACTTATTTTACAAGAAAATCTGTTTTCGTTGGTTTTTCCTCCAAAAAAAAAAAAATACGTAGAAAATTTAATACTCTTTCGAAATGATTATAATGTATTTCTTCGAAAAATTCATTATAGAGATGAGTTTTTTTTTTTTTTAACTCGGGCCTTCATTAAAAAACTACGTATAAAATTTTTAATAAATTTTTCATATACTTTAACTTAGTATATGGTAATAATTTCGATAAAATGCTTAGTTTCGGGGTCACCCGACTCCTCTGTCTGACTGACTCTGTCCGACTGAATTTGCTGACTTTGAAGCACAGTTTTCAAAACGCAACCGAGTACATCGCCAGTCAAAGTGAATTCTTATTCCGGGAAATATTCTTGACATCATATAAATATGTCAGCTGTGTTCTTCACTTAAATAAACTTTCAAATTTCGTCTCTTTAATTAAAATTTTGGCAAAGAAAGCAACCGCTTTCAACCGATTGACCGAAGTTGTGTTTCCAGATGAGGTTTATCTATAAATTAAAATGGTTACTAACTTTAAGTCCTTAAGTTAAATGAAATGGTCGGTATCTCCCAGTCTGTAAACTTTAAAACTATGTAGTTTAACTGTTTGCAAAAATTTAAACTTTTTATAACAGCTTTTTCGCTGTCATTTACTTTTTTTTTCACATTTGGAGCCAGATCCAGTTTTTATTTTAGGTTTGGGATGTACGACAATGTTTTAGGCTATAACATTACTATTGTTAGGAATCGGAGAGATTCATATCCTCTTCGTAAACTCGTAGTGAGAACTCACAATGTCCAATACTTAATTGTCGGATAGCTGTGTCCCCTTCCTGGAGTCGCTAAGATGTTTTCCTCCTGGAAACAGTGGCTTTTCATTTCCTTTATTTTTTTTAATAATTAATGCAGTATCATATATCAATATGTAATTAGTATATCACTTTAACTTATTAACTTTAACTACTTAATTTTAATAATGTTTTTGACAATTTTTTTTTCAGCAAAAGGGTTCCTGAAGTGACCTTAAATATGGAAGATTTGAGATACTTCTGGGATACTGATTCCAATTTGGAATCACCAATAAACGTCTTGGTGAAGTTAGTGCGCCCTTTGACTGTCCCCAAGCTCCTCTGGTACAACGTCAAAGTCAAACCATACAAAACGAAAATAACCAACAACGGCTACTCAGGTAGTATGAGTATAGACTTACAAAGCCTACAATCTAAGGTTTGCATAAATAGGAATAGTGACATCAAAAACTATAATCTAATTTCTTTTATTAAAAATTTTATTTATTGTCAAACATGACAATTCACTTGAAAAATGAATAATAAAGATGAATACAAATTATTAATAAAAAAAAAGGACCTAATTTTGAAAAAATCAGCGTAATGAATTCGTGTAATCGCCCTAGTGATGCACATAGCTAATGATTTTCTTTTTTTATCTTATGCTGTCTTAATTATCATACAATAGTTATCAACTTCTCCGCTTGACGTTTAGAACCTCTAGGGAAACCTTTTTCTATTTAATACTTTAAAATTGAAAACATATTTAGTTATGTATGTATAATATCCATTTAAAAACAAAACATCTTTTTGCACTAGTGATGGACACCCCGAAATTCAATTGTTCCAGTAATGGACAAGGGATCCGTACCAATAATAGACATACATAAGAAAAAATCTAAAATCTTTGTTAATTATAAAGATAAAGACATGGATAGGATAAGATAAATTTTCAACTTACATTTAGTAAAACTGTTAGTGTAGTAGAAATGTATGAAACCCACTGATCTCAAGAAGACTATAGGCATTTTAAAATTCCCTTTTGGGAACTTTTTTCATGCAGTTGTCAATAGAGGGCATTGTTCTTCAATCTAGTCAACTGAAAGCTTTAAATCAACAAGGATGCATATTATTTACATTTAAAGTCCAACCTGTCCATCACTGGACCCCCTGTTCTTAACTGGTGCGTTCATCCTATTACAAAGACACTGAACCACACATATAATCAATAAACTTAACATTTTATTTTTTTTTTTTAACTTTCTTTATTGAATAATAATACATTCTGCCACATTGAAGGACATTAATATTAAGGTTACATGATTCATTCACAAAATATGTTCATACATATCAATAATAAAGAAAAAGAAATATAAAAAAAATAAATAAGTAAATTGGTATGCCTGTGTACAAAAAAAAAAAAAATGAAATAATAGATAAAAGCTAGATGAAATTAAAGTAAATAAATCACATTCACACCTATGTACAATATTTACATTCACCCAGGGGACTTTGAGTCATGCCTTATTCCCCGACGTGGAAGCCAAGCCAGGACTCCAGGAGATCCCAATGCTTCGCTCTCAGCCGCGTCACTGTTATTTGAAACCAGTGGAAATTGATGAAGGGCACTATAGGAACAGACGCTCATGTCTTGAGTGGAGAATCTGGCCATTGCCAGTACTCCAATATATACATATTTACAAAAGGTCGCGGGGCCACTGCCGTTTTAACCTCCGGGGAGGATTGCAGGGATGGCTGGAGCTAGATAGGGATTGTGCTACAGGATTTGGATAATGAGTGAGTTTCTGGTGAAATTTGGAAAATTTTTCTGGGATTAGGTCAATAACAAATGGGATATGAAGGTCATTATGGAGGGTTTTGTTGGATACATAGAAGGGAGCATCGACTATTGTTCGGAGGATTTTAGACTGGAAGGATTGAATGCGTTTGATGTTAGAAAGTTTTTCTGTCCCCCACAGTTCTATTCCGTAGGTCCAAATAGGTTCCAGGATTGTCTTGTAGATTAATAGTTTGTTGTCGACTGAAAGTTGAGATTTTCTATTAACTTAACATTAAGTTAGGAAAACATGTGTACCGAAATTGAGATCTAAATAATTTCAAAATAAATGATAGCATGATTTTTGAAAGAATTTTCTCTTAGTCATATCTGGGCTATTAACACAGAAAGTTTTTTTTCTTTTTAATTTTTCTGAGCTTTCACATAAATATAAATAAAGGAAGGAGATGGTCCGGAGTGGCGATCATAAATAAGTTAAATAGGGGCAAAACTATTTTATTAAAAGATAACGTTTCGACCCGACTTAGCAGGTCTTCTTCAAGGAGTGTGTTCAGCTATGAGTTTCACCAAGAACTGAGTTTCGCTTTGTGACCCAATTTTAATTAATTAATTATACAATGATATGATGAATTTAATCAGAATCGTTTTAGAGAAAATCGTAAAAATTTGTTTAGTCCATTATATAAAGTGCCACTTCCATTTTCCAAATTTTGACGAAAAAGTTGCTATAATATCCCTAGCGTATAAAAATCTTAAATATGCAATTTCACTTTCGTACGACTTTTTGTTTTTGAGCTAGGCTGTTAACACACACACACACACACACACACACACACACACACACACACACACGCGCGCGCCATTTTGCGGGACTTGGTTATTTGGACTCTTAAAACGTGTATTTCCGTTGAAAACTGAGATTCGAAAATTTTCACGATCGCAATACTTCACTATTTATTTCATATGTAGTTAAGTGAAAGTAAAATATTTTTATTTAATCTTCTTAAACAAATTCTTGATATAGTATTGTATCCTGTTATTGATAGTAGCTGATGATGCCTTAAAAACTCGGTCTCACTTAACCCAGTACAAACGAAATAAGTTAAATATTAATATTAACACGCTATTAACAGATGTAACCTAAAAAAATTAATTATAAACTTTTGTTATATTGCCATATTATTGAAGTTGTTAAATTTCAGTTTTCGTTACCTCGAAGTGGGGGAGGACCATGCCTTTCATAAGTGATGGACCCTTGGCAGAAAAAAAGTTCTTATTTTATAATATGCATTTTCATTGGTCTGATACTAACGCTAAAGGAAGCGAACATAAAATAAATCATGAAATGTATGTATCATGTTGCGTTTTATAATAATTTATAAATAAGCATAACATGAATTTCAGTATGCTATTTCTTATATTATTTATCTATGAATATTTTCGTTCCTAAAAAATAATTCGTTCTATATATAACCCTGTAAAGAACATATCTGATCTTCTTCATGACTATTTTAAGTTTAATAGTGGGTTGATGGTTGACTATAGTGAATTATTGAAGAGAATAATGGTTGTGGTGATCAGTCAAAATAAAATAGTAAAAGAAATAATTGTATTTATTTTCACATTCGCCGACGTTTCGCTTCGGGGTTCACGCCTTCTTCAGGGCTAAGAAAAGAACCATATAACAATAGGTATGAGAAACAATAAAAATTTAATAATAAGGTGTACACTAAAAAAATGTAGGTAAAAAAACTTGAAGTAAAATTATGTAGATAGAGTGAACATTAAAGTAAAATAAAGTAGATAGAATAATAACAATAACAGAGAATTGAGAAATAAATAATAATAACTGTAACAAAGCAAGGACCAATGAAATAAAGATAATAAAAACAAGGTAACATATGAAATGAAATTTTTTTTTATCCCTGATGAAGGCCTGAACTTCGGGCCGAAACGTCGGTGAATGTGAAAATAAATAGAATTATTTATTTTTACTATTTTATTTTGACTGATAACCCCAACCATCCTTCTCTTCAATTATTTAAAGTATATATTTTTAAATTAATTTTAATTATTAAAATATTACAATCCTTTATGTTCCTCAAGGTAGTACTCTCAGTCTTATCCTCTACACAGTATAAATAGCTGACATTCAAACTCATCATATCACCATCATAATCACATAAACTGATTACAAATGTGTGTTATCGTTTAATAACTCATTTATTGTTTCTTAAACTCGACATTCATATATCAAAAACATTGAAGAATGGTGTCGACATTGGAGGATTGAAATAAGTTTCAACAAATTCCATCAAATCATCTTTGCACTAGGTCGTTAACCTATGACTTCCTATACTACAGTATCCTTAATTAATACTCCAATTATCTCTGTTGAACAGATTCGTCATATAGGACTCAATCTATACAAACTTCTTACTTGGAATCCTCATAGGATAGAAACGACAAGAAACTGTTAGACGTTTACGGCAACTTCATCACTAAACAAACATATTAAGCTTTAATTAAATTAACTATACAATAACTCTCTTGAATATAGTAAGGCCTATTTGGACTTATGGGATTAAGTTTTGGGGCTCCAATAATCAATGAAATTTCCCTCGTATCTTACAGGTTGCTACCCAAAATCATTTGCAAAATTCACAATGCCCCTAATTTTGTTACAAATATAATTATCCGTAATGACCATAATGTTCAATATATTTCTTATTTAGCCTGATCAAGGTAATAAACTCCTGGTCCATCCAAACTCACTAGTTCCTAACTTTGTATTTTCTTCGATTTATGACAATCATCTGAAAATAAGATGGCCCCGGGACCTTCCATTATTGGAGTGCTACCAATGAGTAGTTTCTCTTCTCATCTGTCCATGCCATTATACTAACTCGCATTTACTTAAATTTCAATAAAAATATATCATATGTTGTCTACTTGTTACGTTTAGTTTAAATTGAATCAGGTGGGGTGTTCAGTTTTAATTAGTTTTGCCCAAAATCGGTCTTGGTCTTGCACTTTGCAAGACCAATAACAAGGAGGCCTAACTTCTGCAAGACCAAGACCAGGATTGGAAAAGAAAATCGATTTTTTAAATAAAAACTAAGCCAAAATAGTTACTAATACTTGACAATCTTAGTTACTAGATGTTAATAATTGGTATAACCTTTTGCATTTAACTCCTCTAATTTTTCATTCGGGCTTAGGTAGGTTTCTTCTATCTAAAAAATTACATCTGAAAATATCTCTATATTAATAAGCTAATAAGTAACCGCAAGACAGTTGCGAGACTCTTGCGCAAGGACAAGATCATGACCAAGACTGAGTTTGCAAGACCAAGACTAGTCTCAGGCTCGCATTTGGGCAACACTTGGTTTAATGAATACAGAAAACAAATTTAGGTGAATAAATGTTCAACTCGGTAAAATATACTGACCATAGAATACTGTTTCAGCTTCCCTTTCGAAATGCACGTTCTTTGGAGAAACGAGGCATACAAGACTGCCAGGAAAGCGAAAAGAGAATACGATGGCATTGTAATCATGGCTTATTTATTCGAAGTTAATACATTTTTTTTTTAAATATGAAGCACTTCTTCCAAATTTGCTTAAAGAAAACTGGTATTTGAAAATAATTTTTCCTACGTAGGTATCTCCCAACGAAAACCAGCTATTAGAACCAATTGTTGATTGCCTAGAGGAAGTAAAGAAAGGAGTTTCCAGCACCTACATGAAGGATTCTGCGTCGGTTTCAGAACTGATCCGGCTATTCGAGGATGACTACTTCCTCTATAGAGGTTGCGTCAAAGATTCGAAGATGACTCACCAAGTGACATGGATGGTGTCCAAGCAGATCCAACAGATCGGAACAAAGCAGGTCGCTGGCTGGTAAAGTTGAAGTACTCTTCTAACCTTGTAGCGAATTGTCCGTATGACAACATTATAATGTTGAACTGGCAAATATCGTTCGTTAGGATAAGTTCGTAATTTTTTCAATGAGGTTTCAAAATAAAAATTGAAAAAAAATAATCATATTTGAATCCGCAAGGCTTCTCATCGTTCGTCGAATAATATAAAATTTCGTTTGTTTGCCGTTGGTAAAAAAAAATAAAAATAAAAAATTGGTTGTAGGTGAAAACAAATTATGAAAAGATTGGTAAAATTTCGTCATTCTTAAATTGCTATAAGTTCTAAGTTAATAGTTACTCCACAATTTATAAACATAGGTGCTATTATATTGTTCGATCGCTATTAAATTTTTTGTTTATTCTATAAAATTATGTTATATTTAGAACATTATGTATTTTTTTTTGTAAGATACTTCCATATTATTTTTAAATAGGTGCCTTCAATTAATTACAAATCATATACATGATAATAATAAGACACATTTTGATATACGGAGTTGAGCTTTTTGAGGTTCCACTGAACCATCGAATTTCTTTCGCATCCAATCCTTAAAATCCAAAATCCTTTAATTAAATCTTCAATGCAACTTACATTGATACTAATAAAATCATCCATAACCACCTTAATCTTATATATGCTTCTGATTTGGCCCAATCCAGATACCTATCCTTCCATAAAACTTCGGAACCATCCTGATCCTCTCGTTTCTAACCTTGACTCCGCTTCGATCCCTGTTAACTTCCTGAAGCGTCTGAAAAGAAGATTTAATTTAGGAACTTTAATGCTATCAGAGAGAAATACAACATAGCAAGGATGCTCACTAACTCACGTCTGCAGTTTATTTTAATGTCCTTTCTTGTATTTCTCTTTATCACATTTTCTGGACGCATATGTATTTTTTAGTTCAAAATTTCATTAATATTATATTTGTTTATTTAGAAATATTACATTCTGTCACATCAAGGACATTTATAATAGTGTTCAGAGAAAGCACACTCACACTCTATTTACAATAAAAAAAAAAATAAATAATACAGAAACTTAATAATAATAAATACAATAAAATAAAATAAAAATAAATACAATAAAATAAAATAAATGTATATAAACAAAAGAACTAACCTAATCATACACACTCGGGCTTGAGTGGAGGATCTGGCCATTGCCAAAACTCCAATAGATGCTTATTTACAAAAGGTCTCTGGGCCACTGCCGCTTCAACCTTCGAGGAGGATTGTAAGGATGGGTGGTGCTGGATAGAGATTGTGCAAGGGGATTTGGATGATAGGTAAGGTTCTGGTGAAATTTGGAGAATTTTTCTGGAATAAGGTCTAGGACAAATGGGATATTAAGGTCATGGTGTAGGATTTTGTTATTTACATAGAACGGAGCATCAACTATTGTTCGAAGGACTTTAGATTGAAAGGATTGAATACGTTTGATGTTAGAAGCTTTTGCTGTCCCCCACAGTTCAAGTCCGTATGTCCATATAGGTTTCAGTATTGTCTTGTAGATAAGTAATTTGTTTTCAATAGAAAGTTTGGATTTTCTGTTTAGTAGTCTGTATAGCTGGCCGTATCGTCGGTTGAGTTCTTGTCTTTTGAGTCTAGTATGTGGGTTCCACGTTAGTCTTCGGTCTAAATGAAAGCCAAGATACCGGACTGTGTCTGAGTAAGGAAGCTGGATGGAATTAAAGTGTACTGGTGGACAGGAACTGCGTCGGAGTGTAAAGGTAATATGTTGGCATTTAGATTCATTAACTTTAATGCGCCAGTTAAATTTCATAAATAACATTTCATATATATATATATATATATATTTAGGTACCCTAGGTAGTATCAACTGCTTTTTTTAGTTAAAATGAGATTGACAAAAAACTGCTAGACGTTTCCGACTACTTCAACACTTACTAGACAAACGCTCTAACCTTCCAGTAAATTACAAAAGACTCATATACATGACAACAATAAGACCTACTTGGACTTACGGAGTTGAGCTCTGGGGCTCCACTAAGCCATCGAATTCCTCTCGTATCCAATCCTTACAATCCAAAATCCTTCGTAAAATCCTCACTGCTCCTTACTTTGTCACAATTAAAATCATCCATAACGACCTTAATGTTCCTTATGTTTCTGAGCTGGCCCAATTCAGATACCTATCCTTCCATAACAAATTTCAGAACCATCCAAACCCTCTCGTTTCTAACCTTGCTTCCTCTTCGATCTCTGACAACCCTCTGAGGCGTCTGAAAAAAAGATGGCTTTGAGATCTCGTTTTGTAAATAAATTTTTGAGAGAGTGCTACCAGCGGGTAGTTTCTCAACAAGTAGTTTCATGTTATTATATTATTTTGTTCACATTTACTGGATGTATTTTTATTTGTAATACGGTTGTAAATATCAAAAAAAGAAAAAAAGAGATATAATTGCTTCAAATTGTCCTTTGTTTTATGTATAACAAGAACTAAGTTGTTCTGCGATCTGTTCAGAAATAGATCAATTACTAACGTGACTAATTTCTAACTAATGGTGATTCGTTTGCTTGTTTAGTTTGACAAGTTTTATCTCGCACTAGTAAAACTATTTTTTTACCTACACAGTTTTCTAGATACCAGTATCCGTATATAAGCTGCTAGAAACCTAAGGTAACCGCATAATTTCCCTTGTAGTCAAATCAGAACCGCAAAAACTAAATGAGAAAACTAAAAAAAAAAAAAATTATTAATTTTCAGTGCTTCGGTTATATCTTTGTCATTAGTATATTTGTAAGTATATCCTTATACACGTATATCCTTATATATATCCAAATATATCCTTAACTTAACATTATTTGCTCTCTCTCAAATTATTGGTCCGTTTAAGATTTTATTTTATTTTTTTTTATTGTAAGAAATTATTTCTAGCATCCATAATATTTGAGAAGAGTATAGAATAGTTTTCGAATAATTAAAAAGTAGTGAAAATTAAACGTGTTTCCATGGCAACCTGCGTAAAAGTACTTTTTAAATCGCTGGTAAAAAGTTTATTATAATCGATCTTTTTTTATGGTGCGATTTCGATTTTTCTTTTTAATTGGAATTAAAATTTTTTTTTCAAATAAATGTAAATATGATATAATCCTTATAATATATATTTCTTGAGTTATTCATAAGTATAATTTTGTATTCTAGAATACATCAATATACAGGAATAACAATACTTACTAATATATATATATATAAGTATAACCGATATTTCATTGACAGATAGCCAAATTCAGACACCTGCTGAAGACAAACGGATTTCCGATAGCTCGCAATTCGAGAGGGACCACTGAAATGTCCAATGAACGTATGGTGTACCACGTTCGCCCACGTTCGTTGTCCTTAGCTATGGGCATGCATTACAACAGGTTGTCTAGGACGGCTTTCTTCTATTCATATTTTCAAAGAACTCCTTTTATGATTGAGGACAGAGAACCACCATTCAAAGAAGGTTTTTCAAAAGGTCAATAATTAATATTAAAATATCGGCAGAAAAGTAGGAAATTTAACTTTTGCCTTTTTTTAATCACGTTTTTTGTTGAATAGGAAGAGATAATTAAAACATATTTATTTTACCTAATTAACATTTGCTCTTCAGGGAAATGGACAAAATTTACTTAAAATGAGATTAGAGTTTATCATTAATAAAATCATTTAAAGAGGTTTTGTAAGCGGATTAAAGTCCGGTTAAAAAAAAAAAAAATTGATTATTTGTTATCATTCCAACTATACTTCAGATAATCTACTTTTAGAAAAAGTTTAGTAACACGTAAATCCATATTAATTAAACTGAAGTTTATTATGAAAAATGTAGAGATTTACCTTGTTAAAAATAAAATTGTGCTGTTATACCTTGCCACCTAAATGTATCCGCGTTTTGAGAAAATATGTCTACAATAAATTATTGTATTAAAATTTTAATTAAAATTTTCGATGACCTAGTCAATGGCTGGGATGTATAATAATAATGATTTTTCGATTATTCATAAAGGCATAAATTGTATGTGTTTTTTTAAATATTTTAATCAGATAACTATTACTTGAATCGATCCATATTTATGACTGGCAAAATAAATCTTTATAATCCTAATATTTACGTTTAAATTAAAAAAAGCTTTTTTTAAAATCTTTAAGAAACGTTTAGGATATAGGATACAAAATCACATCATATAACTTAAGATAAATTCCAACTTATATAGTAATAAGCTTACAACTTAATTAATATGGAATTGAAACTTATTAGACAAGTTTGTTTTTCTAAAAGTGGAATATTTGTTGGTATAGTTGGAGGATGATAAAATAAAATCGCAAATAAATTATGATTTTTTCTAAAAATAGTACTTAGCTTAGTTTAGTGACTGAAAAGTCCTTTTTAAATGGTATTAACAATTTAAAACTCTATTTAATTTAAACAATTTTGTTCTATTTAACAGTGAAGCAATTGTTAATTATTTAAATTAAACATTTCTATTAAAAAAAAAAACATGACTTGCTTAAAAAGAATACAAAACTTAAATTTCATACTTTTACATGTTTTATTAAGTAAAGCTTAAATATAAACCATTTAAATATAAGTAGATTTTGTCATTGTTAAAACAGTTTAAGGGAATTTCTATGCAGGTTTAATTGAAAGTTCTCTTTTTCATAAAATTATGGATTATTCCCGCGTTTTTTTTTACTCATTCTAATAGATGCTTTTGGACCCTATAATCCAGGTCTTGCAAACACGTCAACCAAGAATTCTTACCAGTGTTACTTTTATATGAAGTTTATAGTTATTAAGTTAATAGTAATCACGCTAGAGATTATTGTTTCATATATAAAAAATATACGTTAATTTAATCCCTCAACGTTTTAATAAGTTGCAATTTGGCATATTCATACAGGAAAAAAAATCCAAAACAATATCAGAAGACCTTATGGCACTTCTACAAGAAGATCCGTTTAGAAATGGAGATTTATGAGTGGTTGAAGCCTAATGCGGTGCCTGGAATGGTTTTTAATGAGCTGTCTTTTATAGTAATAACTTTAAAACAAAGTAATAAAATGTACAATAAAACGTGTGTTTTTATAGTACACTTAGTAGACAAATTTAAATCATACTTTTAATCGAAATTGATATATTTCATAGCTTCAAACATCGTATCCATTTCCTTATCTTTTCTGAAGTAAAACTCAAGTTGAAACCTACAGTTCGGCTAGTCAATTTAGAAGAATATTTTTGGATGAGAACATTCTGTACGTAAATTTCATTCATAACAACTTGCATTGCTATTTGGATTTTCATTTATCAGAAAACAAAAATATGTTACAATATTTTTGGTTTACTGTTATTACTAACGAAAAATTATAAAATATATTAATTTATGAACATTTTTGGCATCATCTTCGTTGCTTGCCCTGTTTGTTACTTCATTATCTATTGTACTTTATTATTAGTCTTAGCATTTTTTTTTTCTTGGAACCCTCGAACCGACGTTTTCGACTACTACAGCACTTACTAGACAAATGCTATAAACTTCCAACTATTTACAAAAGACATATATATATATTAGTATAATAAGGCCTATTTGGAACTATGGGATCGAGCTTAGGGGCTCTATTAAACCATCAAATTTATCTCGTATCCAATCTCTGCAATCCTTCGTAAAATCCTCAATTTTCCCTACATTGTCACAAATAAAATCATCCTTAACGACCTTGTACCATATGTTTCCGATTTAGCTCAATCCAGATACCTATCCTTCCATAATAAACTTCTGAACCATCCGAATCCTCTTGTTTCCGACCTTGCTTCCTTTTCTATTCTAGATAACTCTCTGTGGCGTCTGAAAAGAAGATGGCTTTGGAACCTTCTAATGTAGAAATATAATTGGAGTGCTACTAATGGGTAGTTTATCTTCATGTTGTACATGCCAGGTTACTTGTTTCATATTCACTTGTTATATTTATCATTTAATACAATTATAAATTTCAATAATACAATTTTTTTTTAAATATGAATTTTTTTATTATTTGTTTTCCTTTAAATACATCATTTTATTGAATAATAATAATATAGAATCTAAGACAATATGCATTGGCGTTCTAAGTATACATTCCTAGTATATAAACAAGCAAAAATAAAATAACAGAAGTTATTCGGAGGTGCGGTCAAAAAATACTATTGTACAATATTGTATTTTTTGACCGCACCCCAGACTAACTTCTTCAAAGGAACAAGTTAGGACAATGAAAATAAAATATACTACTATATAATATCTATATTATAAAAACAGGGGTAAAATGTAGGTGGTGTCAATCTCCCAAATCTTAGAACACTTGTCATTGCAATGTTCCACTCTGAGTACTGGCAGGGAAAATTACCTAGCAAATTATATTATTCAAAACAGTAAACAATCATCACTAGAAAATGTTCTAAATATTGATAGTGTGAATAAACTAAATAAGATATATCTGTTTTTGTTAAAAACTTACTTTATACTTAAAGTAACAACGAATCTACATAATTTGTGTAACAAACCGATTACTACTTAATAAATACCAAAAACAGGAGCATGTTCAAGGGCGAGGCTTGAAACGTTAATTTAATATATTTTTAAATTATATTAAGTCGTACAATTTTTTATGTTGTTTTAGGAATAATTATTTAATTATTCATTAGGGATAAACTAAAAAAAATAATTCGTTGTATTATTATATATGTTATAGTAAGCGATAGGAATTTACCTATGTACACGCATTTATATCTGCTAATATATCTGATTTCATTGACATACTAACAACAACTACTAACACCAAATGGGCCGAATCCCACTGCTAAAAGATGTATATATTAGCCAATAAATTATCTCTCTATCTCTCTATACTATTATGTATTTTTTGTCCGCACCCCCGATTAACTTCTTCTGAAATTGATTCCACGTTCATCCATCTCCATATCATTATAAAATAATAGAAATTAAAAACATTACTGATAACAATAAGTTAATAATGAAATAACAAAACAACGGAAGTTGAAAATAATCAGTATTTATAATGAAACAATCCATTAATCCTAGTGTTTGTTGTTTATTAATCCTAGTGTTCACATCGTGTAACTCTTCCTTAATCCAACTCCTACATTGTAATAAATATATTTAAGGTTTAATGCTGATGATTATCGACTCATTTTACAAGAGTTATCGATATATCGATGGATGGACAGACGAATAGGTATAATCAACAATAATGGAGCAAGCTTGTTAAGGCGGCAAAAGATCTACACGGTCTGTTATACCAACAGAAAAAAAAAAAGATAAGAAATTATTAAGAGAATATAAACCTGTACCAGTACAACCCAAGAAGGATTTCAGTACTATTTAGGGAAAGCATTGTTTCTTTATCTACGATAGTGCAAGGAGATGATTTAACCGAGATCACGCTTAACAGCCAGATTTTTCCCCTTAATTATTTTAATTAAGGGTACCTACTTTATAGAGGCTGGGTGTGTTCCAGGAGGGTCTACCTACCCAGGGTCGCCCCACGGGCAATGAAACAGAATAAATATTTTGTCTGCCATGAGCCGGGATTCGAACCTGGGATCTTTAGCATTGGAAGCTCAGTACCCTGCCACTGTACGCAACCACTGAGCTACTCCACTACCAAAGATAATATAAACCTCCTTAAAATGTAAAATATGCAGTAGAAGGAGTATACTTAGACCATAAAACACATCGAAGCGGTAAATAAGGGGATATGAAAAAAAAAAAAAAAACACAAAATCTTAAGAATCACATGGTATAGAAATAACTATCCAAAAAAAATTATATAATTTAAAATAAAAAGTTCAACCTTGATTGTACAATTTCTCCGTGGCAGTGTTTAATCTCATCTTGAAACGAAACCCAGTGTGTTGTGAATAATTCACAAGTATGGGAAATATTCTGTACTTAAGCGCCGCCGGATAAGGGCGGACAGAAAATAGGGTGAAATATTACAACGCAGTTACCAACTCCCGGTGAAGAGCTTGGGGAGATAATCCTCCACAAATCCTCCTCCACGAATCTTCTTTAGCTTTGATGGGGGCCTTTTTTCAATCCTTGAGCCATATTGTAGCCTCATAGCTATTCTTGAAGCTCTATTATATATATATTTATAAATAGTTCACATATATATATTTTTTTACGAACTGTTGCTATTCCTCACAGCACCATATCAATGAAATTCGCAACAATTTTTAAACTTATTCATTACAAAAGAAGTTTATAATAATGAACAACGACTTCGAGCTATCTGAAAAAAATCATATGCATATCTGGTATGGCTTTAAAATAAATTATACTGCTTGTTAAATCAAATGATTGCAAGTGTACGGTCCTCCGTGGAACGGCTTCCTTAAGGAAGCTGGTAAAGAACCGAGGCTCGAAATAAACACGGATAAGACAAAATATATGGTTAGCTGCATAAATGGCGATATTGCCAGTGTTATCGATACAGAAGGTAATATGTTCGAAAACGTAGAGAAGTTTAGGTATCTAGAGTCTACGATAACTAGGAAAAACGAAATTGAAGTTAGGCTAAAGGCGGGAAATGGTTGTCATTTTTCTTCGACAAAACCTCTTAGCTCACGCCTCTGATCCCGCAGCTTAAAAACTAGAATCAAACCATTGTCTTACCTACAGTTCTTTATGGATGCGATACATGGCCGCTTCACTAAGGGATGAGCAACGTCTTTAGATTTTTTAAAATAAAGTATTGCGTAGAATATTCGTACCAAAAAAGGACGAGTCAACCGAAGAATTTAAACGATTACACAATGCTGAATTACGTGAACTTTATCCAGTAATATAATTGAGGTGATTAAGTTGAGGCGAAAAAAATGGGCATGCAAAATAGCTGTGCTTAGTAACGGAATAATTTATAAAAGTTTAATATGCGCTGTACCCACTGGCAAGCGTCCTAGACCAAAGCGAAGGTGGGTAGATTGCGTTAAGGCTGATTGGCGAGGTTGGGTTTGGACGGAGCCCGGTGGATGGAAGAATGTGGGCATCGATTGGTGTTATCGGCATCGATCCTTCGGTTTGGCTAAGCCTTATTATTACTAACTTAACAAGATTATTAATAGTTTGTATTAAATATTTACTGAATTTAACAACTATCGAATAATGAAAGATTTGTCGAAAGCCGGGGTTCGGTGGACCGTTGTATATTAATATGAATACCGGGAAGTGAACAGAATATTTGAATTCGAGGAGTTCGGATGGTTATGGGGTATGGAGGGATTGGATGACTAGAAAGAGGAGGGATTACCAAGAAATGCTAACGACGGTAGGAAGGATAAAGTAGCCCAGTCAAATTAGACATGTTATCTTGCAAGAGGTCGGGTAATTCAAATTTCTTTGCTATATTGTTAGATATGCAGAGAATATAAAAAATCGATGTTTCCGCCCTTGAAAGAAAACCATTGAAATTTCGAACTTAGTTTGCTTTACGCTAAATATATCGTTTTTAGTGCAACATGGATAAAAAACGCGGTAAATTATTTCACAATGGTTTATTGTTTCCCAACAATTACACATCTAAAATAACATTAACTTTCCAGTGACAAATTAAAAGTTAATTCAAATTATTTACCTAAACATTTTTTTTTTTAACATTAGCATTACTTCAGTAACACATTCAAAAATCAAAATCAAAAACAAAGGATTTTCAGTAGAACATAGAAACATCTAGGGACCATATCTCTGTTCCTAATTGTCCGATTTTAACGGTTTTTTAGGAAATTTCGTAAATTTTTAAAAACTATGTCTACAAAAAAGTATACTTTTTGAGTTATCCGGAATCTAATTTTACCATCCCCCGTAACTTTTTTACAGCTTATTTTCGTTGAAGTATGCTAAACAGATAAATTTAAAGGACATACAGAAGAAGACTTTAGCCAAGTTTCATTCGGTAAATTCGTTTAGGCTCTACAGCCTGTAGTAACGCAGGTTTTTCGGCCGCCATTTTGAAAGTAAAATGCTGATCGTAATGTCGATGAAGAAGGATCATCCCCGGATGACATCTGCTTTTAAATCC